CCGCTCTGGCTCTGGTGAATTCTCTCACCCTCCTGCGCTTTTGACTGTACCCTGTATAAATAAATAAATAAATGTGCTTGTATAAATAAATAAATAAATCTTTAAAAAAAAAAAAAGAATATTTTACTTGTGTTCTTATGTTAACGTTGATTTCTTATTTAATAAGTTAATGTTTGCTATTTAATAAGTCAATAATACAATTTTTATGATTGATTAATTTTTATTTTGTGTATGAAAAGAGATAGTCATTAGGACCTTAACTAAAGTAATAACTATTACAGTGCAATTTTTCTTAAGCCTGACTTTTAAATTCTCATATTCTTAAGTATTAAGGTTTTAATTTTTACATATGAACTTTATATTCAGTTAAGAGGAGAAATAATACACATTTTTAAAGCTTTCTCTTGTCATTTATATGTAGTAAATATCAATATATATAACCCACATAAATTTAAGTCTTTTAGGAACTTTCAGTAATCTTTCAGAATGCAAACAAACCTTATGACCCAAAATATGAGAATTTCTGCTTTAGCCATTTTTTTTTTTTAGTTCTCTTATTTAGGAATTTGTTGATACTCAGATATTTAACTAGTAGGCTAAAGGAACAGTGCTTCTCATAATTTTGGAATGTGTGTAAACAAACTTGTGTGGCCAGCCAGAACTAGAAGTTTCCCTGTGGGAATCATTGTGTGTTATATACTTGTAAATGCAAATTGGAAGTTATCAAAAATTCTATTATACTAGGAAAGTTGGTATTAGACTCTGTGACTAATTCCTCATCAAGTAAGTCATGAACATTTTTTGTTCCTACTCAGTGCCCCTTTGTAGCTAGGTATGAGAGAGGTACCATTATGATATGATCTCAACATTTTTGGAAGCAGTCAGTACAGTAAGATATTTACAATTCACCACATGCATAAATACATCTATCAGCATTTTCAGCTGCCACTGTTGTAGTCGAGGAGGGATTTATGGACTTATTTAGAAGGAAATATATGTTGAATAGACAATTGAGAAAAACAAGATACTACCTGTGTATTATCATTTAGACTAGAATTTAAATGTCTCAATATGCTGCTATAGAGAAAGCAGTGTGACAGATGAAGTGAGGTACTATTATATTAATTGGATGATCATCATTAGATCATAGTAGCTTCTGGGGTTCTGGCAATGTTCTATCTTCTACTCAGGTAGTATTGAAAAGGACATATTCACTATGCTTGTTCAACTTTACAAATCATGATTTCTTAATTTTTCTGTGTATGTTATACTTCATTTAAAGAATAAAAATATAGGGCTCTTCAATTTAAAATATTGTAAAAGATTAAGATGTCTGCAGTATGAACTTTAAGACAATTATCATGCTTACAGTTAATAATTTTTCCTTCATTAACCAGTTTTTCAGTTGGTTCTTCTCAGGACCATGACAATCAATTGTTGGGCTTCAGATTATGAATAATTTGCCATGACCCCCACTCTTCCCACCACCACCATGTGTTATATTATTTTAAATAAAATCAAGGGAGTCAGCCAGTTCTTTAAAAAGACATATTTTTGAAAAATTTTTAATTAGAATTTACATGTACGTAGCTTGGAAATCAGGTATAATGGTAGGATTTATAAGATGTATTCCCCTCCTTCCTCAACTCCAGATCTTACTATTGTCCTTCATCTTGTTGCAGTAAAGATTGGTTATTCTCTAGAATTCTACACAGCTGATATCCAGGGTCTTCTTTTTGCACAATTCTTCTTTTATTTTTCCCATATCTGAATGGAATGCTTTGTTTCATGCTATTCCTATGTTTCCTTTTTATTTACTATGGTAAAATTACATCTCACAGTAAGAAGAAATAATTTATAGATTAACTTTGTGCAAATTTTCACAGCGTAACATTAAGTCTTCCAGTCCATGAATGTGGTAGGGGTGTGTGTTTGTATGTATGATACCTTTTAATTGTTCCAGGTAGAATTTTGTAGTTTTCAGCATAGAAATTTAACAAGCCTTTTCAAAAATGTATTACTTAATGTTCTTAGCACTATTATTGATTTTTGAAAGTCATTTTCCAATTGTTTAATGTTAGTATATAAAAACACAATTGATTTTTATATTGACTTATATTCTATTTATAAAACTACATAATTTTATAAATTCTTAAGGGTTTTCTATTTAGAAAATTATGTTATATATGATCAGGTGGTTTTGACACTTCCTGGATAACTTTATTTTTCCCCTTGTATTTTCAAATTGGGTAGTTTTATTTGTCTTTAAATTTATATATATGGAATCACAAAGTGAATACCTTTCTGCATTTGCTGTTATACTCAACTGTTTGTGATACTAATATGTTTTTGTGATTAGGTATAAATTATTCCTTCTCAGCACTTTTCAGTATTCTAGTGTATGACTATATTAAAACTTAGCCATTCTGTTACTCAGCAATCAAAAAACATAAACTCCTGCTATTTGCAGCAACATGGATGGAGCTGGAAGGGATCACGCTCAGTGAAATAAGCTAAAAAGAAAAAGAAAAATACCGTATGGTCTCACTCATAGCAGGAATCTAGAAAACCTAAATAAGGGATCAGGAAAAAGACTAATTATAATGATGTAAAAATCAAAATCAACACAGAACTATAAACCAGAGACACACTATGGGGGGGAGAAGGGAGTAGGATCAAAACAAGGGGGGTGGGAATTTTATGGGGAGGATAACCAAGATGAAAACGCATACATTGTACAAAAACAAAAATGACGTAAAAAATACATAATTTAAAAATTAAAAAAAAACTTAGCCACTCTATTGTTAATTGTATGTGCCTTTTCAGTTGAAGACAATTACAAACAGTGCTTCTTTGAGCATATGTGCATTTTGATAGGTTTATACCTTGGAGTGGAATTGCTGGATCATAGAGTATAGAGCATGCTTTCTTGTTTTTTGTTCATTTCAATGTCATTTTGTTAAAACATTGATTGGCAAGAAAAAAATAGATCTCTGTTTGGGATCACTGACTGCACAGAGTTTACAAGTTCTTTCCATGTCTTCATGGGTTTTCTCTAGGTACTCCTGTTTCCTCCCATGTTCCCTAAATGTGTACATTAGGTAAATTGTGTGTCCAACTTGTCTCAGTCTGAGTGAGTGTGGTTGTGTCCTATGATGGAAGAACATTCTGCCCAGAGATCATTCCCACCTTTTGACCTGAGCTATAGAGATACGCTGTAGTCACCCATCACCCTGAGATAGAATAGGCAGGTGGGAAAATAAATTAATAACTGAATTGACACAAATAATTATTTTATACTGAAAGTGTTTGGGTCCTTAGTTAGAGGTTTAGTGATGGTTTTGTTGTCAGAAATGTGCTGTAGAAATTTAACTTGTTTATTTCAATTAGACGATGGTCAGATTTGTTTCATTCTGAATTTTCTCATTTGAAGTTGCAGTTTCTAAGATCCTATCCTTGATATTAAGGACTTACTATACTTACCATGTACTTAATTTTCATATGAAACCAGAAGTTAGTCATATTCTTCTTGTTCCATGCCTTGCTCCTTTCATCTGCTCATCAGGCCTCAGGTCAGAGAACATTACTTTGCATGCTCCTCTCTCATATCAAAAAAATAAAAATAAAATTTAAAAAAAAGTGTATGGCCATCTCCTTACTGGCTTCTTTCTATCTACTTTGTTTCTCTCTATTAAGGTTACACTTAGCAGTCTTGCCTTAGGCTCCTCAAAATTGTATACCTCAAAAATCTAGTTCTAGGTTTTTTGTTTTTTTTTTTCCTTCTAAGCTGTGTCTCTAGCTATTTATTCAGATAGAACTATTCCTACTACAAATGGTACTCAACTTTAACCAACTAAAGCCTATGCCTTTTTGGCTGTCATAGGCATTTCAGGCACCCACTTGGTTAGGAAGGGAGAAATTCTCTTACACATCTGGAAAGCTAGCTGCTTCCTTTCTGTTTGCATAGAGTTGGTCCTATGGAGCAATAAGGTTAAGGGGTGAAAGATGACTCAAATAGTTTCTACATTTTGAGAGTGATAGAAGGATTTCAAGGAAAATCCTAGCTGAAATTAAATTTGAGGATTAGTGAAAAGAGTTTATTTATCCATACTTCATCTATTCAAACTTTTTAAAAAGATACTTGAAAAACTGTCCAAAAGATGCAGGTGCCTATCACTTTAAAAAGTACTCTTAAAATTTTTGTGAATATTAAATTGTTTGTAAGTTAAATTGGAATTTCAGTTACAACAGATACAAAATGAAACTCATTGTAAAAAAGAATACTAAAAAAATATGATTTTTAATACTCATATTTCACAGACCCTGAAAAAAATACATGGATTTTTTACTTGTACTGAAAAATTACATGCAGTATTTTTATTTAGGTTTTGAAGTTAGATAAACCTTAGGTGTGATCTTAATTCTACTATGTGCCAACTGGGGATTCAGTACATTACTTAGCCTCTCTGAAACTTATTTATCATATCTATAGCATGAGGCTAATAAAATGTATTATAGAGCTGTCAATCTCATATGCTCAAGTAAAATGCCCAACATGTTGCCTGTTACATGATTTTCTATTATTCAAGGATGATGGAGTTATGTTTCATTTCATTTGCACTTTTAAATTTAGTATTAGCATATCAAAAGAATTAAATATATATGAGCAAAATTGATAAAGAAAGGACAGCTTAAATATTTTAGACACAAAACATTTATTTACAAATAATATTAATGAACTTACAGCAAAACTTAGTTGGCATTCAGCATTTATTTATTATAAAATCCAAGGCCAAAATACTCTTTCATGGCTCTCAATGCAAACAATGTGCTAATGACCAATCACTTTAAATATTTATAGAAAGATTAGTGCAGGAAGTGAGCTAATAAACCAAGGAAGGAGCTCCTCCAGAGACTTTAGAAGAATGTTTGAAAGTCATGCCTGTGTGCCTGGATCCTGAGAAGAAAGGCCAACTAATCATGTGCTTTTGTTTCTCCAGGGAGAAATTGGCTGTGGCCCGTCTACAGCGAGAAATTGCCCAAAGAAGTGAGGGGGCCGTGGTAAGTCCTGAGTGGCCTCTCCTGATTCATAATGCCCTTTCTAAAGGAATCTGACTCTTGAAAGACATTTTGTTGGGTTAAGGTTATCTAAAGAAAATATTTGCTTGCAGCAATCTTAATGATGTGTCTGCAAATAGTATGGTTAGAATGCACTTTAGACAGCTCTACCATTGAGGGGCAAAAGAGAAATGGCGAGAGAGGGAGGGGAGGAGGGAGAGAGTAAAAAGAAAAAGAAACTATTTGAAGAAAATGTTCAAACACTTAAGAATCCTAAACTTTTATTTCCTGACGGTCCATTGGCTGGCCAGGCTTCCAGTTATGAGCACAGTGTCAATAAATGCGCAATCGTAGAGTTTCAGATAAGAACAGTTGAGCATAATGCAAACCTCTCAATTCTTCAAGTTTAAAAAAACTAACACCCTAAAAGAACACTAAAATGTTTGCAAATATAATCCTTATCCTTTCCTTCTCTCCCCTACATACAGTGAATTTCTTGCTATCCTTTTCAGTATGTGCCATTTAGAAAACTGATGTTTCCCTGTGTTTTGAATTGTACTAAAAATCAATATGGTGGTTTTGGTCCATTGCAACTTCATTTTATAGACTGTCTTTGCCAAAGTATCTGCCTGTGTGCCACTCTAACATAAGAGATGACTGTCTGGGGACCTGGGGAATGTACATGTTTGGATTAACTGCTTCTGCTGCTACCTTAGAGAAGAAAATAAAACACCAGATTTCCCCCTACTTATGACAAAGCAATGGCACTTGTGCAATTTTTCAGCAAAAGAATTAGCTTTTTGGAAAAAGGGAAGTGACACATTTTCAGACCCTGAAGGCTGCTTCTATTTGATTTCACGAGAGTTAATGGACAATCCTTCCACTGAAAAGAGTAAGAAATTTATAAAATATGCTGGCCTTGCACTTCTCTCAACAGGCAAATCAAAGGGTGGGAGCAAGAGGATGAATGTTGAGTGGGTTGTGGAAGGTACAGTAGCGCTTGAATGTGCTGAAGTACTTAGGGAAGTGATGACATTGTTTGCTCTGCTAGTGACCTCAATGCAAAGGGAATCTTGAATGTTCAAATAATACAAAGCAACCACAAGTGTCTTTGTGTAATGAAATGGAAACAAATTGGAGAAAATGTAGGTTTAATCAAATGGTGAACTGAAAATTTTCAGTCTGGACTTCTGTATTGCAAAATATTTGTGAGGTAGGACGTTCTGTGATAGCTCAGTCATTTGTGTAGGACAAGCTGGCACTCAGCACTTCTTCAGCTATGTTCCAATTGAATGTGAAGAAGTAATTTAACTTTTCTTTGTTTCCTCATCTTTAACATGAGGCAGTTGAATTTTTATGATTCTGTTGGCTCAGTAGATCATGCTACTGAACATCTGTTAGATGGGGAGCTTTTTTCTGCTCCTACCTAAGTATTTAAGCTCACAAGGAACACAGACTTTGAAGGTTTTTCTTTTTCATTCCAACATCAAATGGGCCTAAGTTAAAGTCATCTCAGACAGATAGCTGTCTTTTAAAAGTAAAACCCACTTTAAAACATTATCAAAATAATTGCTCAGTGTAGAAAATGCCCAGTAAACACAGACAAAGATTTTACTCTGATTATGCAAAAAACAAAAAAGAAAAAAACTTTGGAAAGTCATCAATGCTTTATCACTCTTATTTCATTGATGATAATGATAAATATTTATTTTTGATTGATGCAACAAATACCTATTGAGCATCTGTTATATACCCAGCACCCTTGCAGGCACTGGGGAAACATAAGTGAAGAAAGAAACAGTCAAAAACTTGAGCGCTTACATCTGATGGTTGAGAGACAGACATTCAATGTCATTAGGGTGTTAGATGATGGAAAGCAGTATGAGAAAATGAGATCAAGATAGGGAAGATTAGTGACTCTAGGGGATCACTAATTTTATACAATGTGCAGGATAGTAAATCACTGAAAAGTCAGTATTTGACCAAAAGTGAAGGAGGGTAAAGGGTGAACCATGGTGATGACTGGAGGAAGAGATTGAGGGAAAGAGCTCCATGAGCACACAGCCTGGAGTGCCTGAGGAGGAGCATGGAGACAGGATGGCTGGAGAACAGTAGGAGGTAAAATCAGAGAAGTGATGGGGGCTGCAGAGGAAGTCATCAAGGTCTCCAGGGATCTCTAGCTCATACTCTGAGTGATGGAGTCCTTGGAAAACTTCGGGAGAGTCAGTGACATGATGTGATTTATTACTATTCATATTACAATTTCCCCCCTTCCATAATTTATCACATCCCAATTCCTTAGGGACACCATAAGCCCTGATTTTCAAGAATGCCCTGTACTTTTTTTTCTCCCTCGTTCTCAGTATTTTTCCTTCTTCCCTTACTTTGTCAAAAACCTCTGAGTTTTCTAGTTAATTATATGCTTCAGCTTTTCTGCTCCTACGATTCATTTATTTCTGAAGTCCTGATTCTTCCCTTGTCTTGACAGCTCCTAAAATCAGGCAGTTCTATTAATCCTCTAAATTTAATTCTTATGTTACAAACCCAGAAATTCTGTCACGTCTGTAGCAGAAATGGAAAGCAGTTCATCATAAGCAGATCACCTTATGCTTTTAAAGACCACCATCCACAGTATTCCTATGTACCGGAAAGGAAAAGCGGTATGGAAAAAGTCAATTAAGGGTATTAAAAAAAAAAGCTGTACTATGAGATATTTACTTGTTAAATCATCAGTGAATCTTTTATAATCACAGTCTTTAATTCAAAGCTGCCTTTTCAAAAATTGACTTTGAACAATAAATATCTTACAAGGCACCATTTTTGAGAGAATTTTAATTTTTAACACACTTTTTATTTTGGAATAATTTTAGGCTTATAAAAGAGTTGCACACCTGCATACTCGAGTTAACATCTTACATAACCTTAGTATAATTAACAAAACTAAGAGATTATCATTAGCTAGTTACTATTAGCTACATTCCAGATTTTATTAGAATTCCCCTGTTCTTCCAGAAATGTCCTTTTTCTGACCTAGGATTCAGTCCAGGATACCACTTTACGTGTGTAAAGATTTCTTTTTAATGACTAGTTGACAAGTATGTGGGAGTAAGAAGAGCATGAACTTGTGTGTGAGACAGGTTTCAAAGTCTATGTTCACCAGAAGTCAGCTGAGTAACTTTGAATACCTTACTTCACTAGTTTTTATTAATTCCATCTGACCTTCTATTCTGTTAACGAAAGTCTTTCAGAAAGCTTTTTATCAGCATATTACCTATTTCATTTTTGTTCCCTTTATTCTTAGCCCATCTATGAAATACCACCATTGTTTTATTATTTTCACAAACTGTTAGATGATCATATTTCCCTTAATTTGGGGAATTGTGTTTGAGCTTGTACTCCCTATCATTGGTTTAGTTTACTGCAAGATCTCGTCTGTTCTTAAGATTTTAATGTCATCTTAATATTTATTAGATATAAAAAGGTACATCCCACCCTAAGAATATAAAGCTATCCATTCTCATTATTTTCCAGAATGTATATATTTTTTCTTTTTCTTTTTTGAAAACATTGCAAATTCTACGTGAAATTAAGTTGGCATGAGTTGAAATTAAAAGAGTGTTTTTCCAGACTGATAGTTAATTTCCCAACATCATTTATTGAATAATGTAAAATTTCTTTCACCTTTATTATATTTCAAATACCCCCTACCACTCTGCGTGAAGTACTGATATACTATTCCATTAACCTTTTTTTGTTATATATACTATTTTATTTTTTTAATTATTGGAAATTAATAACTTGTTTAATATCTTATGGGTCAAGTTTCTTCTGATTTACTTATGAACATTGTAATATATTTGACATTAAGAATTGTTAATATTTGTATATAATCTTGATCTTACACTTATTTTTAAAAGAGCAATGTTCCACATTCTTTAGAAATATGTATAGAAATATTGCACTGAAAAGCTTTCGTATCTGGGCTTGCTTCAAAATAATACTGGAAGAGGGATGTAGGTGAAGATTTAGATAAAACAAAATTGTCCATTTTTGATAACTGCAGAAATTGAGGGTTTATTATATTTGTCTTCTACTTATATGTTTTAAATTTTTCATGGTAAAACATTTTTAAAAATATGCTCACTAAAATGTTGCAAAGCTGATGATTTTACAGAAGAGTTCAATCAAACCTTTAGTGAAGGAGAGATGATTTCATACAAACTGGTGCTGAAAAAAAGAAAATGAGAGAAATATCCACAACTCTCCTTTGTAAAAATAAATGTTTTATTTTAGAGCAGTAACATATTTACAGAAAAATTGCAAAGATTAAAGAAAATTGCAAAGTTAAAAGACTTCCCATGTGTCCATCCATACCTTGTTTCTTAATTATTAACACCTTATATTAATATGGTACATTTTTTTCACAATAAATGAACCAATATTGATACAATATTAACTAAAGTCTGTACTTTGTTCAGATTTATACCTTTTTGATAAATGTCCTTTTCCTATTTCAGGATCCCACCTAAAAAACACACTGCATTTAGTTGTCTCCTTAAGCTCTTATTATTTGTGACATATTCTTAAGCTTTTTTGTTTTTTGATCTCCTTGACAATTTTCAGGAATAATGGTTAGGTAGTTGGGGGGATTTGTCTTGTTGATATTTTTTTCTGATATTTTTCATGATTACACTGGAAATTTGAGGGAGGTAAATCACAAGTTAAATGGCCATTTTCATGGCATCATATCAATGTTTTATATATATATATATATATATTTTTTTTTTTTTTTTAAAAAGATTTATTTAGGGCCTCCCTGGGTGGCGCAGGCAGTTGAGCGCAGTGCTGTGAAGCTGTCCACAGTCTCTGCAGCACCAGTTTGATCCCGGCAGGCCAGCAAGGGTCCCACATGGCGCGGCAGATGTCTCCTGTGTCGCCCACTGCTCCCCTCAGCAGTGTATTTCGTCAGTCTGCCTGTTCTGTTCCCCTCTCTGTCTCTGGTG